TATAATCATCCTGGATTTTACATGCTGATACCCTGCAGCTGCGAAACGTTCTTAAAATACCTATCCCACATGTTCTGGCTTGGAGTTCCACGTCCAAAAATGACGTCGGGGCCGAATACATCTTGATGGAAAATGTACCCGGTGTTCCATTAAGTAAGTTATGGGATCAACTTGAAGTTGGTGCAAAGTTCAGGATTGTCCAGAGCATTGCGACTTATCAAGAAATGTGGTTAAATATCTCTTTCTCGCATTATGGAAGCCTATATTACAAGCACGATATTGGATCAACGAGTCCAAGCCTTGAATACACCGTCAAATCAGGAGAAAACATTGCGGACGATCGCTTTACGATTGGCCCTTCGGTGAGTAGACAGAACAGTGATGACGGAAGGCTTATGATGGACTTTAACCGGGGTCCATGTAAGTTTTCATATTGTTCACAACCTTGATTGAGATATATCCTTATACTAATAACTTTCTACAGGGGCTACTGCAGCAGACTATGAGCGTGCTACAGGTCTAAGAGAATTGTATTGTGTAGACAAAATGCCTAATTTACCTAGGTCTCCAATCGCTCTACATTATTCCGGATCATATCAGCCATCTCGAGAGACGAAGAGATTAGCAATAGAGAGCTACCTCAAAATCTCGGATTACCTTCTTCCCGATGAGTCGATTCAAACTTCCCATATATGGCATTCCGATTTACATGCAGAGAATATTTTTGTGAATCCGAACAACCCATCGGAGATTTATGGTTTCATTGATTGGCAATCCGCTGAACTTGCGCCGTTATACGATCATCCGATTGAGCCTTACTTTCTCGAGTATGATGGTCCATCTCTTGATGGATTGCTAGAGCGCCCCAAACTCGCCGATATTCGTGAACTTTTTCGAAGTGACCCCGAACCATTGGCAGAACGCCGAGCTACATCGCTATATACTAAAATGTCCTTGGTATCTTTATACAGGCATTTCGTCTACAAGAAAATGCCACTTTTATTCAAGGCTCTCGAGTTCCGCGAAACAGCTTGTTTCCAACTGCTTCTTCTTGCTCGAAATCTCCTAGTAGATGGCGAGGCAACATATCTGGCATTATTAGCTGATCAACAACAAAATGATTGGCACGATATTCAAAGATTAAAACATAGCAGCAGGCATTATCCGCTCCAGTTCTCGACTGAAATGCTCCACAAGATTGAGAAGGATCACAAAAGTGCTATCTTATCCATGGATCTGATGCGAGAAATCCAGGACTTGATAGGTCACAAATTCTTCTACGCACGTGGTATGGTGTCTCATGATGAGTACAATGAGGTTAGTCAGATTCTACCTCAAGCTAAATCGAAGTTCATTCGCAAATATGCTCGCAATGAGGAGGCAGTCAAAGAGTTGGAAGATATTTGGCCATATCACTGACAAGAATATCTATGTTGATTCGCCTGAAATTTGTACTTGATTACTGCTCTCTAGTACAGCGCCAGAGATAGGCCACGTTTTGCTGTTACCTTAGGTCTTTACTCATCAAATCTCTTACTTATCTTTCTCTCTTTCTATATAAATATTGATACAAATTTTGGACTAAAGCACTCGTTCGGCTGAGCGGATGGGCCAGAGGATGACCTGGGTTGCGTAGTAACGGTATTCTCAACACGCTCTGGAGTATCAGCGCAAGGATTCTTACGCAGATTAGATGTCTGGCGTGACTGTATCCTGTTCACAGTACTTAGCGTTGACAAAGTCCGAGCCGCAGGTGCCAGTGGCAGACACCTTGGCTGATTCTTGCTGGAAGATACCATACGCGAATAGGTCGCTAGGGATATTGCTCGTTTTCTGGGTTGCCAATGTGGTCACACAGGGCACGCACAAGGGTCGAAAAGTCTCCGCTTCCTTCACATCAGACACAACTACTGACAAATGTTAGACGAAAAGAGCTCGATGCCAGAACATCATCGAGTATTGCGCCAACTTACCCGGGAGGTCGTTTCCCCGCGTTTCGGGAGCGGAGTCTTTTAAATGGTGCTGACTCTGACAAAGCCAAGTAGTAACTCTTTAGATCCAACGGAAAATCAAGAGTAACCGGCGCGGCCGTTTTCACCGTGAGCTCGGCATCTTCCACCGTTCGATGCCCGACGGCGCCGTAGGATTGTTAATTTCGATATCAATTGTGTTCCATACCCGGAAAGTACCGGTCGACGGCGGGCCCCGTTCTGGAGGGGCCTCAAACGGCCCTGGCCTGAAGGCGAAACCAGTGGGAAAAGGAGGCTGGAAGGTTCGTGGAAATTGAGTCGTATGTAGCTATTTTGGACCGGAAGAAGGTGGTTGGCCGCCTGGACCATGGTAGAATCCGATTTGATCAAGATTCGCTTTCATTTTCCAGAGGACCGGTAAGTCACAGCCGAGGTAATGTTCAGGACAATAAAAAATAGCGTTGGATGAGAGTGCCGCGGTGGTGACAACGCTAGGAACTTGCTGTCCGTTCTGGGCCATACGCTTACTCAAAGCAAAGAATGGAAGGAGGACAGTCGGACTTTATAACACCAAGACTCCAGGACACCAGAGGTATTACTGGGTGAAGATAAAGCAGCATAACGACTTCCGGGCTGCCCTAGATCGTAGGCTACGATATCCCCGCCTTTCCCTTTGTTGATTCTGGCCTTTGCTTGCGTCGGGTGGGAGCTTCGAAGGGTATCGAGCAAGGAGCCAGACCCACCTCGGGTGAGAGTGCGCCATGTGTTCCGAAGTGCCCACAAGAGGAGGGTGCTTCTCGCCTGTCTATGGAACGTCACAGCCATCAAAACAGGTCAGTTGACGGTGTGAAATTGGGCAGAGATTGAAGTTGGACAAGAAACCCAGTGCCAGCGGCAGCCTACTATTCGCGGATTAGGCAAGGCATCCATTTTCACGGCTGATTAGAAAGAATTTAGCTCAGAGCTCCTGAGGCATTTTTGCGGTTGGCTGGTAGATAAGAGCGGATCTAGTTCGCGCGCAGCTTGCGTATGTTCAGTTCTTGGTTGGCTGCATTGGGAAGATGACCGTCCTGGGCGCAGCAAGGCCTCGGCAAAAAAAACCGCAGGCAGGGGCAAAGACGACGGTCCCACATTGCCAATCACATGTAGTCTAGGCATCTGGTATTCCCTCTAACAGTCTCGCAACAACCAAAGTCGGAGAATAAGTGCTTGATAAGGGTCACTCCATAGTGTATCGTAAGAATCATCAGTTGATTGATAGCGTATTTATCAGCGACAGTATAGATTCTGATGTTGATATGTGCCTTGGTGATATCATCAGTCCGCGTCGCAGGGTCAAGCTTTGGAAGAGGCGCTTCGGCTCGGGGCTCAATGGCAGGCTCGGGCTCTGCAGAAGCCATCTCAGCTGGAGGAGTTCCAGGCTGAGGCTCAATTGCAGGCTCAAAGGAATCATCGTAGTCCTCGCGGTAGATGTAATCAATCAGTTTTTCGATAATCAAGGGGTCATCATGAATTGCTATTTCCTTTGATCTAGCCTCCCGGAACTCATCAGGGCTGTACTAGAATATGTTGCGAACTTACTTGAAGTCTTCCACTTAGGACTTTATCAAAGAAGCTGGACTGTGGGCAGATAATACAACGATGTACGCGAAAGCTCAATGCATAGCACTTGATCTCAGTCAGAATAGGCGCCACTTTCTCGTAAACTTCATTTCGTTAGCTCGGATTCTATAGGGAGGGCATTGAACGAATATACTTTAATAGAAGGGATACAAGAGATCTTTGTTTCATAGTCATCTTCAGTAATCAGGGGGTAAGATTCTTCTTTGTCCGAAAAATAAAATCATTAGGAAGTTCAGGACAAGAGGATAAGATATTCAAGCAATTCTCCATATCACAAAAGCGGGGTCATATTAAAATCACGTGATAGTTTTAAAGGGCTTCTAAGCTATCCCTTCACTTCACGTTCTTTATCGCCAGGATGAAGGAATAGAATTACGTGTCAGCTAGACCTAGAGTAGATAATCTGGAGACCGTCATGTGGCTTAGCAATCTCAGCATACTATCTCAAACCAATGGCTATTGATATAGAGAAATAATGTGGATAATAAGGTTTCTTGGGGTGAGATTGCGTAATGTCGCGCGACCGGGGTGATTGCTCACCCATCCTTAAAAGTCACTCAGCCTAAGTCACCCCCAGTCGCGCGACCGTAAAGCGGCCTCACCCGCTAGCTCACCCGCGCGGCACCCACCCGCCTTCTGGCCGCGTTCAAGCCACACGCCGGGAGGTTAGTAGTTGGGTGGGTGACCACCAGCGAATC